CAGAGTCTGCGAGAGAAGTAGGTCCCGTGGGCGGTGCGCCGCTGAGGCCCGGGCTCTGCCATGCACCCCAGGGCGTGGGCCCGGTGCCGGGCAGAGCGACGCTGCTGTGCTGTGGCTTGGTCCCTGGTCTTGGGGCGGTGCCTCTTCACCCACGGCCGCCCCCTCCTGTGGCCTCAGCAGGACAGCGAGGTGTTGCTCAGACCAGGCCCCTCACGCTGGGTCTGAAGTGCGGCCACCACCTGGTCAGGGCCCCAGCAAGCTGCACCCTGGCCTCCTGGGCAGGAGGACCCCATGTGGTTGCTACCGTGGGAGAGGCTGGTGTCCTGGACAGAAAGCTGAGGGCGGAGAGCTCTGGGGCGGACCCAGGAGCTGCCCACAGGCCCAGGAGCCTAGCCAGCCTCTCCTGCTCCTCCCTCTGGGTGGGCAGGCAGGGCTGTGCCTGCAGGGAGGGGGCAGGAGAGCTTGCCTGTCCTGCCCTGCCCTGGCCCCTGGCCCCCTCCCCCCACCCCTTGAGGGGCCAGCCCCTCCCTTACCCACCCCCTCATCCCAGCCCTGGGCACCCCATACTTGAGCTCCCTCCCCTGGTGCCTTGTGTCAGCCCCCTGGGCACCCTGTGAGAGATACAGTGCCTGCCTCCCCACCTGCACTGGCAGTTCTTAGGGCCCCAGAGCCCCATAATCTGAGAGGCCCACTTTGGGCAGGACTTGGGGAGCGTGCGGGGTCTCCCCCAAGTCCTGAATCAGGCGCTCCCAGCTGACCAGGCATCTCTCCCCCACTCCAGCCAGCTTCCCCCTGGAAACTTCACACTCTGTGAATCTAATCTGATGCAATAGCACTTTTTCTGTTTAGAGAATCATTTTTCTAAAACAATCTGGCAGGCGCTGAAGACGTAATAGGAGAAATTAGAACTTTTTTCCTTCTGCCTAACCGTGAGAACACCTGTTTCCCCGCCGCACACCAAGGAGGTGGGCGAGGCTGCCCACAGCCAGTGCTGCCACCGTCTTAGCAGAGGCTTCCCACCTGTGCGGCCTGCCAGGTCCGCTCTGCCCCGTGGGGGTGGTGCCCGAGCTGGGAGCCCCTGGCAGGGAGGGGCTGCAGCCAGGGCCTCAGATCCCTGGCTGACCACATGTCTCCACTCGCCCCTGCCGGGCCCTCTGAGATACCCTGGTGCTAGCTCCCTGCGGGGAGGAGAAAACAGCTTGTAAACGAGGCACCTCCCAGTTCTGAGTGCTGGTTAATCACTGTGATTATGTACAGGGTTTATATTGTGAGCATAAATGTGTGAAGGTGTCCATACCCCAGCCTCCCCCCACACCAGAAAAACCAAAACAAACAACCCAGCCGTGTTCCAAGCCTGGAGGGAACCGCGTCTCTGCAGGCTGGTCAGGGCCCCTTGAGTCCCATGTGGTTGAGAAGACGTTGGAATAAATGCCGGCTCCTTTGAGCAGCCGCACTTCCCAGGTGTCCTGCAGAGGCCTGCCCCACGCTCCTCTCCGCCCGGGGCCCGGGAGGCCCACCCAGCCCTCCTCTGCTCCCCACTGCAGGCACCTGCGGGAGATCTCAGAGCTGCAGAGCCAGCAGAAGCGAGAGATCGAAGCCCTGTACCGCCGCCTGGGCAGGACGCTGCCCCCCAACCTGGGGCTCTTGCACACGGCCCCCCCTGCCGGCCGCCGGAGGAAGGCCAGCAGGAGCAAGCTGAAGGCTGGGAGGCTGCTGACTCCACTGGTGCAGCAGCTCAAGGGCGTGGCCCTCCAGCACAGGTCGGCCCTGTGCCCTGCTGGGGGCTGGGCTGGGGGCTGGGCAGGTGGAGGCAGGCACCCAGACCTGGAGGGGGCGCTTTCTTTTACCCCCTCATGCGAGCGGGCCCATTGGGCTGTTGGGGGGTTGGGCCCCCTATGCTGGGGGCCAGAAGGAAAGGACCCACCCCCGGAATTGTCACCCAGAAAGGAAGATGGGGGGGTCAGATTCTTAAAAAGAGGAGCGGCTCTTTCCCCAGGG